CAGGAAAGGCTAAGACCATAGCCACATAGATGTGTATAAGAGACAGATCTTAGCCTCCCCTCCCCCTTCCCCCATAAATTATATTCTGGAGCCGCCACTGCTCCTTTGAGGATGCCAATTGGTCAGTTGAATCGGGGAACGTTCTCGATTGCGTCGGGGACAGCAGTGCAACGGTTGCAGTCAAGCGATTGTATGGAAACCAGGCTTGAAAATACGCTCTCTTGAAGCATTACTTTCAGCTTGCTTGATCTCGGAAGAAAAAAGCTTGCTTCTCTATTCATCGTCGGCTTAGGCTTAAGCAACATTCAAACAAAGGCAACAACGATCCAGTTTACATAAAAGAGGACTTCTCAAAATTAATGGTAGCATGAAAATCTGATGCATGGACATCGCGATAAAAAAGGATGAAAAAATTATCCCTAAAATTAGGCATGAGCAACTCAGATAGGCACAACGTTTTAATCGGGGCCATATAGTGAAATAAATTTATATTTTATTTATTTATTTATTGTTTAGCTTTATTGCTATTTTTAGAAGATAATTATAGTGTTTTCCTAGATTTTAATTGTTTGTATTAATTCTTTCACAAGGGTCTCAGCTTAAAAGCTTTGCTTTATTTGCGTTTCCTTTTCCATTATTCTTGAATCAGAAATTGTAATGCATTTTGTTTTTGTTTTATTATGGAACAAAAGTTAACTTTACTTTAAATTAAAAGGTTTCTGCACTAAAAAGATTTTTTGCAAACTGTAGACACGACTTTGATTTATAGTTGAACAAGGCAGTATTTTTTATCCAAAATTGTTAGTAATATGCTTGCCATTTTAACTGCAATCATTATAATTCTGAGTTCAAATCTGTAAAATTAGGGATTTTTTCCGCGTGAATCCACCAGACCTACAACGAAAATTTGGATGAGAGAATAACTAATATCAGGTTTTCAGTATAATTAATATAAATAAAATTATTTATTGTATTCCACAGTATAAACAATTCTCTGGATAAACCATGGCACGTAGTAGGAAGGAGGGGGAATTTTATTAATCGTGGGGTAGTCTTAAAGAATAATGGTGGATTGAAATTGGACTGGCTCTCTTCTTGAACCATGCCATGGTACAACGGATTTATAGCGCGCTGGCGCCTACATTTTAACCATTCTCCATGGAGTACAGTTGTTAACAACATATCAATAAGGATAGAATGCTATATAGTTCCAAAAACAATAAATGCCGCCAGATATTGCGAGATGCCCACTTCACGCATCATTGGTCACGGTGACTCTCAGTTCCAGGCCCATGATCATTCGTTGCCTGTGATAGTAGGCCTACTGTATCTTATATAAACATAAGGTTTCTGCAATAAAAATACATAAGTTAAAACACCAAAAGATATGCAAAATATGATAAAGTCAAGAGATAGTGTATAAGCCACATTCACAACTTACGTTTCTGGTAGGTTCAAACTCAGCTATGCTTCTGTACGATATACAATCGCAATGTAACCTATCGTTAATTCTATATCAGGAAGACAGAACACCGAATATTGTAGTCGTCTCGAGGAACCATGGCTTCTAAGGAAAGCCCCGGAAACGTTGTAGTATTGATGTTGCCAATAGTGACCTTTATATTCCAAAAGTGGACGCCGAATCTCATTAATTTACCCGAGGTCCGTAGAGAAGCTTGACGAGGTTTACTCTCCGCATCGATAAACACGGTTAAAACCACAATGATCGTTGCTGATCCACGGCAGGTACTCTAGTTCCCGGTCAAACTATTGTTGCGGGTTCTAGTGACAATGTCATGGATCAATTTATTTTTATACCAAAACGTGCAGGCGTAACTGTTCCGAGTCAGTAGTGTAATAATGTTGTGGTTCTATTTTCGATTTCAGTAGACCTACGAAATTTTTTTTTTCTAAAAATAAACCTAATACTCTCAAATAAAATGGCAATCCCTTGTGCTATGCCCTGCCAAGTGAAAATAAACCAAAGGGGTTGATAGAAACTCAGACTGATCACTTATTCTCAAGGGTGTCATTTTCGTAGAAAAATGCTCAACGATGTAAGGTAGGTACACACTTTCTTTATTAATAAAAATGGGTCAATAGGAGGATAAAGATTGAAAAACAATATAAATAAAATAGGCATATTTACCTTAATCAACCGTAGGCCTAATTAATAAATAGAGAGCACCATAAGCTGTGGTCGATCAACCAACCATCGAAAAAATCGAAGCATGTTACAACTAGTACCACGTGTGTTACCACGTGTTGAGAAACATGAACCGGTATTATTTTAATATGAATATTTATTATCATTTTGTCTTTTGATGTAAAGTTGCGGTACCTATCTGTATACTTGATGGACTATGTCGTTTTGCGCAGAAAATAAAAAACACGGATATATTCTCATATACACTATGGTGATTACATTATAATCAAATAAAGAAAATCAAATCAACTCTCTCAGACTAAACGGTTTCTTTTTGCCAGTCTGAAAATCCATGGAGTAGAAAGTTCCAACAACAAATAAACGACATATTTTAAAGGTAGGCCTATCTATACCTACCTGAATATCTACCTGAAGTAAATGCATAATATACCATGGAGGTATAAAATAGTTTTATACCTCCAGTAGGCCTACTGTATACACCAACTCGGAATGTAGTATGAATGTATCAATAAATGATTAAAAACACACCACTGCCGTATTATTCAAAATATGGGATGCTTGGAGTGGACCCCCCCCCCCCCCCCCCCCCCCCCCCCCCCCCCCCCCTCCCCCAGAGTTGACCCCTCCTTATGGAATTCATATTCTTATTTCAGGTTTAGGCCTACGGCAGTTTAGAAAATCGTTATTATTATTTTAATGGTTTTTCTTTATTGAATAAATCAAAGCAACTAAATCATTTATTCTGTTACAGTAATAATCCAATGTCCCTTTTCAAAAAGAACTCGGTTGTCTCATCTCTGTATTCATAAGGCCTAATCTCCGGGAACCAGAATAGTAAACAGAGGATGATGCAACTTTCCTGCGCCAGCCGCTTAATTGACAGTACTTGTTTTATGGCAGTAAAAAAGCAAAAACAATTTTATAGGAGCATGTCATAACGTCTGGTCAGGAAAGGCTAAGACCATAGCCACATATCGTCGGGTGTTGGAATGGATTTGCAACACGCTGGAATGAAATATTGCGATTTATGATAGAATTTTAACATTTTTACAGGTTATTTCGTAAAATAGTTTGCTTCACAAAATATTGAATCATGGCAGAAGATGAAGCGGTGAGTGTACTATCTAAAAATATTGAAAATATCTTACAGTATAATACAAAGTAAATCCTATTTTAGTAGCATAGTTAGCCTAGGGTAGGCTTGCCTAACCTACAGCAACAGATCAGCATACCACACTACCTAAGCAGGGCCGACCGGCTCCCTGAACTGAAAGACCTAGCTAGGCTTAGACTGGTAGTTGACACCTAGTGAAGTGGACATAGACTATTCGTAGCCCGGTATGGTACGAAGAAGTTTACTATATAATTGAGTACTTCTACAGATGCTCGAGTGTAACTAAAATAGAGTAGTAGTTGTACTAGTAGATAGTAGTTATTAGGAAAGTAATGCATTATTATCATTAGGCCTAGACCTAAAATTCCAAAAGGATATTCGCCAGCACTAGGCCTCGAAAATTCATTCATCATAAGGATGGATGGTTGGTGTCACATTTTGTATCATGCAGTTACAGGCTAAATTATACTTGAATCTTTGTTTTGAGACTAGAGTGCTACCTATACTGTATTTGATCATTGATGCTTCCAGTCATGAGAAGATAGTATGCCCAATCTTATTCTTGTTGGTGTATGGTTTACTGCTAGATCAAAAGTAATAATATTATTATAACATTATAATAATAATTGATAATAATCACCAATTGATTAAATTATCCAGCAGGCAATTCTTAGTCCATTAGTCCAGTGGTTGCCCCTTGCCTTTGCCACATTCAATGATTCAATCATTCATTCATTCATCAGGCTGTTTCATCCACTGCTTTGTAAAGGCCTTCACTAGCATTGTCCATTGCCACATTTGCCCAGTTTATTGTTCCTGTGTATGTAATGTGCCATTAAAACATACTATCCCTGTGGTAGAAGAAAATATGGAAAGGCAAAAGCTTGTGTCACTAGAAATTATAAAACAGTATTACACATAAAAGCATTGTTATGTCATGCATACATAAATGTCAAAATAAACTGATTTAGATTGAGGCAAGTCCATTTTTCCTGATTCATTATTATGGACATAACTATGAAATTACTTATTATTAAAAAATCATGTTCATAGATATTCGACCCAACTTTGTTGAAGAAAAAAAAGAAAAAGAAGAAGTCCCCATTCGATTTGGATGCCGCTTTGGAGGGTGAATCAACACCCAGTGAGCCAACACCAGCTGTTGCCCAGGAAACTGTTGATCCAGCACCTGAAGAAATTGTTCCAGAAAAGAAAGAGGATGGTATGTATTCTTTATTTTTATTTTTTCTTTTTGCATTTCCTTCACATCCAGAACCATAAACATAAGTTTTTTTAATTAAGCTTATGCCAGGCACTTACTGCTTCGTTCTACCCTCGCACAGCGAAATCAACTCTGCTCCCTGTCAGCGATATACGACGCAACGCCGTCTGCTGATTGTCAGTAGCAGTCTGAACGGATCGTCATTAAAAATGATCCGTTACGTGCATGTTGTTGTGTTACATTCTTCATAGCTTTGCGTCGGCTGACGTGTGCAGTGAATGCCCGGCTTTCACTGAAAGATTGTTTAAGCTATACACAAATTTGCACAGGTTAAAAACAGTGCAAGAAACTTTTTTTGCAGAGTTTCCAAACCAACGGCTACTGTTGTATTCTTTACCATTGTAAATGTACTTTTGAAACCTTTATTTTCACACATTGATTTAAACAAATCGAATAACTGCAGTTTATCACTAATTTAAAAGGCCTTATATATAATAATTTATATCTGTAAATGACATACTTTATCACCATTGTGGAAAAAAAACAAAAACCACATTTAAATTCATGCACTGAAACAAAACTAAGTTTATTCACTACTAATAGTAAGCATTGTAGCTGTGAGAAATTTTATAATTAGTTATATACTGTGATTTAATCTGCAAAAACATAAAATTGATAGCAAATAATTTACCATCTTTCAATGACATAAATCTAAAAGGGAGAGACACTAAGATTCAACATTTCAATCTATTTGATCATTGCCAAGAATACTGTTGAGAAAATCTCTCCTATCCATATAAATTTACAATATTTAGAGTAGTACGATAGAAAGTAAGTTAAAACTGAGATGGGACTTGTCATTCCAAAACCGATTTTGAGTTTTTAGTACAGGGTTAAAGAGTAATATACTGTTAAAGCTGTACAATGGTAAAAAAAATCATTACAATCCGACATTTCCTTTATGTTTAAGCATACAGCTGTTAAAGAACAATATATAAGAAATCAGCCTTCAAAGTTTATGATTTTGGGCATTTCTCATGCAAAACTATTATTAAATCCTTAAAAATTGTTGTTTTAATTTTGAAAATGGGAAAAAATATCAGCATAGCATGATGTATAGATATATGTAAAGCTTTGTTTATTGCAATAAAATAGATTTTTTAAAATTTGACATTTCAGCATGATTTGGCAATTTTCTCTGAAACATAAGTGACTGGTTTGGTTTGTCTTTGCCACATTATTAGTCTTCAAGAAGATTATAAGTTTTAAAATGATAGGTCATTTACTCGAATTGACTTAACTATTAGAATTAGAATGAGAATTAGAAACCTTTGTTTTAACTAGATACCCAATCAATGTGGGGACATTATTCTTCCTGGGGTCCAGATAACAAAAACTTGTTCTAATATCGGCATCCAGAATAGTTCTGGCAAGTCTGGTTAGTAATAGTAAAACCTAAAGTGTATTAAGATGAGCTAATTGTGCAGTTGGACCATACTGAACTACAATAGTAGAAAAAATGGTGAAACAAGGCATTTGCTGAGAGTTTAAGTGATAAATTTGGAATACATGTGATGTAATCAACAGACCGCTTTGCTTGTATCAGCCAATTATACTAATGTCAAAGTTTTGAGTAAAAGTATTATGGCTTTGCCTGTACTAAAGTATACAGTATTGCCACATTCTTATGCTAACTACTCAGTTTAACAATTTGGGACAGTACACTGGGATGGCAAGCTTCATGTGATGTAATCAACATACTGCTTGCATCAGCCAGTGTATTGTAAAACCTGAAGTGTGTTAAGATGAGCTCTTGTACAGTTGGACCATACCAGGGGCGGATCCAGAGATGTCCAAAAGGGGGGGGGGGCCGAAATTCGGGCCGATCAAGACAACAATATCCTAGGGGGTCTGGGGCATGCCCCCGCGAAATTTTTGTGTTCTAGACGCCCGAAAATAACATTTGAGGCGTTGTAGGCTATCATTTTTTTTCTTTTTCTTTCTTTTTTTCTTTTTTTCCCCTTTTTTTAGCTCCCAAAAGGGGGGCCGGGGCCGGGCCAACCCCCCCCCCCTTAAATCCGCCCCTGCATACTGAACTACAATAGTAAAAAAAATGTTGAAACAAAGCATTTGCTAAGAGTTTAAGTAAAAAATTTTGAATACATGTGATGTAATCGACAAACCGCTTGCTTGCATCAGCAAATATACTAATGCAGGGGTTTAGCCAGAAAAACGAAATAGACCGTCCAAAATGGGGCCACACCCATCTTTGGGAATCCCCACCGAAATATTGGTACGAAAACAAAGTACATTCAATCAATGTAGTTGTTTTTAACAAACTTAAATTTGATTTAGCTTTAGTTTAATGTAACATTCGATAGATTTGAAGAATATAAAGAATTTGCTAAAGGTAGACCAGTCCCAATTAGGCTAGGCGGAGCTGATTAGGCCAAGTCGTCCAAGCCGTCACGGTAAAAAGGGGCGTCCTAAATAATTGTAGGCCGTCCAAAAGACGGCCGGACTAAGCCTGTACGCTGGCTAAGCCTGTGTACTAATATCAAAGATATGAGTAAAAGTATTATGGCTTTGTTGTACTATTGTAACGTATACAGTAGTGCCACATTCTTATGCTAATTACCCAGTTGAACAATTGGGTACAGTACACTGGTTTTGGGATGTCACGATTACATGTGATGTAATCAACATACTGCTTGCATCAGCCAGTGTACTATTGTGTAAATTTTATATTCATTTCAATCTTTTACAGACCTAGAGTTAGACATGGAAGAACTGTCACTGAAGAAAAAGAAGAAGAAAAAGAAGAAAACTGTTATAATGGACGATGTTGGCGATACAATTGAGGTTAGTGATAATGCAGTATTTAAATTATATCCTGAACATGCTTTTGAATTGCCTTAAAAATAATATGTGTATCTTTGCATGACACTGTTTGTTATTTGCTTTGTTTTTCAAATACTTTGAAACAACAAAAATGTTGGTTAAATCCAAGTTTGCAATAATTAGACAATTAAAAAAATCAAAATACAAATAAATAATAATAACAATCTGTAAAAAGTCATATATTCATATGTGATGTATTTATATGACAACCTCCAAAATAACCGTCTTTGGAATGCACTGTAAATAAATGATAGTAATAATAGGATTGTTATTTCCTCTGTGTTGTATTTATATGACAACCTCCACAATAACCCTCTTTAAAAGGCATTGTAAATATGATAGTAATAATAGGATAAGATAAATTTTGAAAATTCTCCCTTTATATAAACATTATTGTATACAATTCAGGAGATGGAAGGAAACAAAGAGAATGCTCCAGATGCATCTTCGGAGGCCCCAGCAGCTGATGATGACACTGTAAATATGGAATTCACCGGAAAGAAGAAAAGGAGAAAAAAGAAAGATGGAAAAGATCATTCAGAACCAAGTATCATAGACACAACAGGTAGGTTTTTCAGTTCCTATCATACAGTGGTGGATTAAAAGTTGTAGTGGTTGGGGTGAACCAGCCGGCCCGAGCCCCCAAATTTTTTCAAGTTTTGTAAAAAAAAATCGAGAAGAAAAAAGAAAATTATATTCAAATTTAAGTATAGGAGTGTCATTTCAGGCAATCTAGAGGTGCCATAATCATGAATTTTCTTACCTCAGCCTCAATGAGGTGGTGTATACCCTCAATCTCTGAAAGTTCCTATCTGGGGCCCCTCTATTTCAAATCCCTGGATCTGCCACTATCATAGATTTATATACAGAAGGTATAGGTGGTCCAATCTCCATTAGCAAACTAAACTACTCTGTGTATACAAATACATTATCAAAGTTTTGATTTTTTTAATTTATCAATTCAATTTCAGGTGGTGATAATATTAGCAAGGATACAAGTGGAACAGCATGGGCAGGGACGGAAAGAGATTACACATATGAAGAGGTAAGTGGAATTGTACGTTGTATGGAGGGGAGTACAACAATGTTGAGGAAGGGGGTGGAATGACATGCGTAAATACATAAAATTGGACACGTGACATTAAATAAAGCAAAAGGGTAACGACAGAAAAGGAGCTGCATTTATTATCCCCTGTCCAGACTATCAAATTTTATTTGACAAAAACATGTGACATGCCTAAATATGGTTATAATGACATCACATCATGACCATATATAGGCACATCATGACTATATATGGGCATACAACAGTTTTTTGTCAAAGAAAATTTGGACAGAGCTTTAGAAGTTTTTTGCCTGTTGTACTATAATAACGTATTGTCATTCCACTTTTTTCGGTTTTATTTTTTGTTTGTTTATATTTTGTTTTCTGTGAAATTTATGTTTACACCTCTCTTTCAATTTTAGTTATTGACCCGTGCTTTTGACATAATGAGGGCCAAGAACCCAGACATGGCAACGGGGGAGAAGAAGCGATTCGTCATGAGGCCACCACAAGTGGTTAGAGTTGGTACAAAGAAAACTTCATTCGTCAATTTCTCAGACATGTGCAAAATGTGAGTAGTTATTTATAGTAATTTCTTTGGTTGCATTTGCAGTTAATAGTTTTCAAGGTTTTCATGTAGGCCTACTTTTCTTCCCATCTTCATTAATGAACAACTTACACGTTGACTGACAGACCTTTTTTTTAGGTTTTGTCCTGGGTGCCAAAACAAGCATACAGTGCAAACATACTTTCTTGAAATATTAACAAGTCAGATATCATCAAAATGATGTGCCTAATCAATTGGCGGGAAATATTAAGGAGTAAGTCATCTCATCGCTGGCAATGTGACCAAGTGCCAAGGGCGAGTTTTCTCATCCGCTTTTTGCTTGGGTTGGTATATGTTCAGGGCAATAAATAAAATAACATACAAATAACATATGTTATTTGTATGTTATTTTCTAGGTGTATCTTCCCCAAACTATCAAACTATCAACCATTAAGTCTGTTGTTCTACTATGTATAACATTAAA